ACACACACACACACACACACACACACACACACACACACACACACACACACACACAAACTGCAAACCGACTCCAGAAAAAGCAGCAGAAGAAAGCATCTTGAGCGGAAGTACGGTGAGAAGTGCAGATGCACATTCCCTGACTGCAGCATAATGAGGTACTGTGGGGCATCGATTTCACTTACAGCACTCGAGATGTCAGGAATTAAAAATGCATGTCCTCTTAATGAGGAAACCATTCTAATTAAGTGAGAGTAATTCTGCATTATTTCTTTGAAATAGAGACATGAATACTTAATGATTGGCGTAGTAGTGTTTAATACCTCATGTTAGCTGCCATATGTCTTACAGGTGCTTTCTAATGTTTTTGCTTGTGTGCTAAAAGAAACAAAAATAGATTCATTAATAATATAGCCTGAAGTGTGGGAAAATTTCAAGTGTTTGTGCTAAAAACAGCATGTTATTGCTGACATATAGTCTTTTTTAAACAGAATAAAACAAATAAAAAAAAAAAAACTTATATTGTCGTACATATAAACAAATTCACTAATAGTCTTCAGTGCAAATATGTCTCTTTTCCATTTAAATCAGGCTCATTATGGAATGCACCAGATTTACAATAAATGTGGTGGTATTACTGAGCTCAGAAGGCAGGAGGTAAATTAAAGTTTATTTAAAGGAGACATTTTTGATCATTGAAGCAGAATAGCCCGATTGAGTGTGTGCATAGTGTGGGCCTTATGCAAATTTGTTAGATGCTTGACAGATATTCAGATGTACTATGATTAACCATATGATACCATTTATTACATGATTAGAGTATTAAATCACACAGCTTCTCACCTGCACTTGCTTTATCCGCTGTCTACAAGTTCTCTGCCTCATTCAACGATGTATGTGTTTACTTCTTAGCAGGATGCTGAGAGCTTGGCTAAAGCAGTTGTGCTTAATTCCTTCCAACTTTGATCACACAATAACACAATACTAACAACTGTGTTAATGGCTGTCTTCACAGATCTAAAACATTGCATGTAAATCTACTTGTAAATCTACTTATATTACGTTGCAACTTTATTAATGAGTAAGGCTGTGCTGTATGATGGTATGTACAGCAGAATGGTAGAAATCAAAATGTTCTTGTATAATGCCTAAAATATGGTATATCTGCTGCACAAGATTTGAGAAAAATAAAATCTATAATATATTCTGCATATATCATTTTTTTTACTATTTTAACACATATTATGTTTATAATATAATAAGACAAATTGTTTATATATTTTTTAACAAAAACAGTAGTAGAAATCCTAAAATTTGATTGGTTTATCAACGGGCATTTTGTCCTGAGAGAAAATTACCTGAATGAAACTAAAGGTTTGTAGTTTGTAAAAATCAAATCATGACTATAAAGACAAGAAAAGACAATTTCTTGCTACATGCATTTTATACTCCGTGAATGGAAATTGTTCTTAGTGACTTGCTTCAGAGAAATAACTGTCCGTTGTCCAAAAGTAGATATGGCACATTTCATCTCTCTCATATCCTAATAACAGTTGTGTGGTGCCCTTTTATAATACTCACATGTGTTCAACAGACAAACTCCCGTCTGCTCATGCCATGGTGACAAATGACACACATTAATATGACGGAAAAGAGGACTCACAGACCAGATTGTGTTATTAAAACCTGGAGAGAGTTTCAGTAGATAGAGATGTCCCTGATGACAATAAGCCCTTTAATTGGAGGCTGTCAAGCTTTTCAAAAATACACACTGATTTGAACCACTAATAGGCCAAAATCTGATTTGGCCTATTAGACTGCTCTCTACATAATGATGATAAATTAACAAACAGGCTATCAAATTGGATCTAGGACAAGTTATAGAAATTTATCTTGCCATAAATTAGCTTGGAAGGGGCTAACGTATGTCCCCCAATGCTAAAACAAAGATATGTTAAGAGGTTCTCTCCATCTCAAGAAAAGTTGACATTTTAATGAAACATCTAGAGATGTATGCATTTGTGAATAGCAAAAGGAGTACTACCAGAAAAACTTAATATTGCAATTTAATAGGTTTAATTTGTGAAAATGAAACAATAACTGAGTCACTCAAATATCTGCACTGAATTACATCATAAATAAACATCAGACTGAACGTTACCATACAGATATCGGTGTAATACATCACTCCATAACATGTATGCTATATTACAACATGATCAATATCAAGCAAATATCAAAATAAACACTTAATTCAAGATGATAAAATTCAGTGTTCTGCAATGTTCTCATAATCATGCAAAGTAAAATAAGCATTCTATTTCACTCATACACCATCAATATGCCTACAAATACAGGCAGTCGTTTTCCCTTTCCATGCTCCTCAGTAGTCTTCCACCACTTCAAAAGAAACCAGAAAAGAACAGGTTAAGAGAGCTACATCTGTCAGCCAAGTTATCTTTAATCATTGGCAAGTGGTGACTCACTACACATAATCCACACACACACAGACACACACATTTGTGGATTTTCATTTATCAGGTCATTTGATTAATATGAAAAGACAGGCATAGCTAAAGCAAGGTGCGCATGCTTATTTAAGAAAGACCTTCATGACCAAGGTCAACAAAGGCCTATTTATTTGCATGATGCTGACTTCAAACTTTATTTCAGCAACAAAACGTTAAGGGCCGCCCTCTGCGGGTAGTTGGAGGAGAAAGAATGCAAGAAAAAAGGAAAGAGAGGGCCATATTGCATTTGAATAAGAGCTGAGGTCTGGAATTTAGCCAGTGGTTGCAACTCCACTCAAGGTCGGATTCATGTAATTGGTTGCATGGAGGATTTCACAGCATCTACTTTGCAAACGAATGAAAGCGAAGCAAGAGCGACTGCAGCCTATAGCTGGAACCTAAAGAGCTCTTGTCCCAAACGTTTCACATATGCATGTTGGGTTATCGGCTAGTCAGATCAATATTGCAGTCCTGAGCATTTCGTGCCTGAGCAGAATAAGCCGTGATGTGTCATATCTCGCTCACCCTCAGCTACACTTAATTATTGATAGCTTCCTCTTCCATCCAAGTCAATCAAAGCACAGTGGACTTGCAGCGACTCAGCACTACGCGGGAAATAGCGGGAGTTATGCCAAAGGAAATCATGTGTCATTGTTCACACGTGGCCACCTCAATATCGCACCCACCATATTCTGTTTGATATTCTACTGATCATGTCGCTCGTGGAGCCGAGCTCCGTGATGGCTTCTATTAAGGGTTCTGGATCCAATCTACACTCTGCCTGAGCCCCTCACATAGTAGTAGCACTGCACCCAGAAGCGTGGCTACGCTAGCACAGATTTTAAGATTACATGAACACACCTGTGAATTCTAAACATGAATTCACACAATAGAAAGCAAAAACATCATTAAGAAAAGCTCCTGTGAAGTACAGCTGTGAAAAGCTGCCTTAAATAAAAGTGGATCATGCCGAATGGCTCCTTGATGTGGTGACGTGGTTTTGTTTGGAGTATTACTACAGAATTAACTTACAGGATGGTGCTATTTTTTTCATACTGTAGTTGGCTTAGGCCTCACAATGGTCATGTCATTTTGCTGGTTTTCTTTTTTTTTGTCTTTTTCTTTCTCTTTATTTCCTTTTACTTCTCTTTATTTTCCATTCCCCTTTCCTTCGTTTTTTACCTTATTTTTTTTACCTTTTTTCCTTATTTCCCCCCTTTTCTTTCCTATTTCCTGACAGTTTCCTGTTTTTTTTTCTTTTACCATTCCTGATTTTCTTTTGCCCTTTCTTTCATCCGCTTCCTTTTGCCTTTTTTCCCTCTGCTTTTTTTCCCTTCCTTTTTCACTTTTCTTTCATCCTGTCCGTCTCTTTCATTCACCAAATTACAAGATGAAAACTTGTATTGTATAACTTATATATATATATACAGTGGGTACGGAAAGTATTCAGACCCCCTTAAACTGCCGATCTTGTTACTGTGCTAATTAATAGTGTTTTCACTATATTTTGGATATAAATATCCATTGCAGAGTTGATGTTATACGGCCCGTTCAATGAATCGCTGGCCGTCTCAGTGATCAGCCGTAAAACAGTGATTCTGTCCAAATTCCCTTTAAAATCTTAAATGATTCCCTTTGAGCTAAATTGACCTGTTTCCCTTACATATATATATATAATTTTTAAATAATGCTAGTAACATGTTGGCTCATAACTATATGAGCAGATGGACCAGATCATTGCTTCACATTCATGAAGTCGTAGTTTCAGTTGTACCAGAAAATTCTTAAAGTGAAAGATCACCCAAAAAATGAAAATTATGTAATTATTTATGCAGCTTCATGTAATTTTAAACCTGTATGACTTTATTTATTCTGTGCAACATAACATATGTATTTAAACAAGTTTCTCTATTTTTTATTTTATTTATTTATTTTGTGGCCATACAAAATAAGTCATTACAGGTTTGGAACGAAATGAGGGTGAGGAAATCATAATATAATAATAATTATTATTTTTTTTTTTTGGCTAACCATCATGCTCACTCCAATCCAAAAATTGAGTGCCGTATCTGGTGTATAAGAGGAGGGCCGTATAAAAGTGCCTGATGGACCAGATTTGGCCAGTTAGCATAGGGAGCAACCTGGGGCAAAGTACCCTGGACGAGGCACACTGCTAAAAGGGCATCAGATGCATTTAAGATCACGGGTCAACCCAACCCCTGGATTTGAACCAAGAGTGTTTACATTTTCAGGCCAGACTTCCAGAAACCAAATGTGCATAAGTCCAAAAGTACACAGAGAAAAGTACAAAAGCACACCTTCTTTAGAAGAAGGTCCTGGATGAACACTCTTGCACACACAAGCATACAGCACCTGTCCTGCATTTTCATATATTAGCCCTGAATGTATGAAAAAGCATCTACTCCCATGCCTCATGAGAGAAGTAAAGCGAGACAGCAGGAAACACAGGGGAGTGCACCGAACAGAAACCAGGCATGAGAAATTAGAAACTCTGACTAAAGTAGAGAGGAGGGGCTCAGAAGGGAGGCTTCAGATGTATGAGAAGGGAGATTGATGTGAGTGGGCCCATGTAATATCTTTACAGTGGCAGGCGGAGGCCATTCTTCATTTGTCTTCCTGAGAAATGCTCTGTCAGGGCAGCCAAAAGGAATTGGAAATGAATGTCAGTTTCCTTCCCTTTCAGACACACTTGTGTTATGACATCCCGTCATACCGTATTTTATTATTATTATTTAGGATTTAGACTGCTTTGGTTTACCGAGAGTAGCCGGGGCTGCCGAGAAGGGGCATTCCCTTAGTTCGCGACTAAGTGATAGGGAGAACGACAAAAAGGGAGGAGGAAAAACAAACGGGATGAAGTGGGCCCGTTGAGCGATATTGCTGAGCAGCTCCCTGATTGGTACTTGAACGAGGTTGGAGATATTGTAGGCGGTGCTGAGAGAATAAAAGGTAAAGAAGCAGATATTTCACTTCACTTCATTCCCCCAGACTTCATCTTGACACTTCATGAAAGTGTGATGTTTATCTCCTCTGCATAAATTCACATTTCTCTACACCTTTTGGTTTATTGTCTGAACACAGGTGTTTGAAATGTGCGTTTAGGGCTCCCGCTAAGCATGGGATTATGGTTTCTTGAAGAGGCAGGCAGTTTGACACTACTAGAGATTAAAGGCACGCGTCGTATTCCTCCCTCTCCCCGGGGGCCGACTCTGTCATTCGGAGCCGTTTGAGATGTCTGTGTTTACAATACAGGGACAAGAGCATCGCTCAGTCACAGCGACGCCGTCACTCACGCTTTATAGCCGAATAAATCTCCACCGTGCAGCCCGGGGTGGCTCCTCCGAACCTATTATACAAAGTACCTCCAGAACGCCGTAGTCGGTGCCATTGTGTGATTGATTCTCTAATCAGAAGCTGATTATGATGAAGCCCTCCCATGGAGAGCCATTAAATGAATGAAGAAAAGCACCTATGATGAGAATCAATAAAACCGAGCTGAACATAATGCAGTGTTATGATGTTAGATGACACTCTCCTTTCCTTCAGCTAAGATCGGATGGTCTCTTTGTCACCAGGGTTTAAAGGTAATAAGTATGGATTCGCGCTTAATAGCCCGCAAATTTCTCATGGACTTGGGCTAGACTTGAGGGACGCCACATCTTGGAGACTCTATAGTGATGGTTTGCATCAGGACGACATGTACTTTTGTCGAGAAGATATGCTGTGTGCGGCATTACCCGAATTAAATGCAGCAGAAGTGGTGGCGATTGCTGATACACCCAAAACCCATTACCGGCATACCATTACCATGTCTGAAGGTTATGATATCTGGTGGCCGCATCTAACAAGTGTTTGCAGATGCCTTTCTGGTTGTTGATTCATTAGCAGCGGTCGTGGTGGTCAGATGGATGCTGATGGCTGCAGTTCTGTCACTGGCTGTCGTCTCTGGGCCGTCTCCGTCTGCTTAGAGTGGGGAATTGGGAGGAATGAGCTGGGTATAGCAGGTGAGATGTGGCCCTGCGGTTTTGGCATTTTGTCTATGTTTATCGTGTTCCCACACTGTTCCTCCTCATTGCCTCTCTGTAAGGCTCTCCCTGGTGGCCTTGTCACTCTAATTAGGTGACAGACGGCAGCAAACAATATCCCTCATTACTGCTGACATGAGCGACGCACATAGTCACACACAATTGTTTTCCCTTCTTATATACACAAACACAGAAACGCATACACATACACAGAAGAGGCTAAAACAAAGATATGCACAGTGACAAGCATCAATCTTGCGTAATGTCTCTCTCGTTCTCATCCTCAAACAATTGCTCCAGAAACCCTGTCCTTAGGGTTAAGCAGATGTTGGAAAAGCTGCCTATTATTTTGGTGCGCACCTCGAAATAAATGTGAGAGTAATGCTGGTTGTTCTCCTGTCACTATGGTGATTGGCAGTATTGCAGGTACTGTGGTGTCTGTGGTATTTCAGGAAGCTAGTTTTTGCGTCACATACATTAAAGGAATATAAAAAATAAAAAAAAGAGCATTTATTCATCATCATGTTCTTCCAAACCTGAAGGATTTGTTTTTATCAGTGCTCTTTGACATACAATACAACTGACAGTGACAGTAACAGTCAAACCCAAAAAAGTAAAGAAAAAACATAACATACACACAAATATAAGCTATTTTAAATGATTATTTAACTTCCAGAATACAATTTTCCTGATAATTTACTCACCTCCATGTCATCCAAGATCATGTCTTACTTTCTTTAGTTGAAACAAAAATTAAGGTTTTTGAGGAAAACATTCCAGGATTTTTCTCCATATTGTGGACTTCAATGTATATTATTTTTTAACCACAAATGCTCGTCTTTCACTAGCTCTGTGATGCGTGTCCATGACTTCACACATTATGTAGTCAAGTTGGAAAGGTCACGCATGACGTAGGCAAAAGTAATATCAAACTCTGATTTTCTATTCAAACTTCAAAATCGTCCAACATCTTTTTTTTTTTTTTTTTTTTTTTTTATTG